GTCAAAGGTCCGCTGCCCCTTGACGAATGCCGCCCCGCCCCATGGGAGGTCAGCAAACACCTGCAGTCACACACAAACGAAGCGACACACGAATGCACTCATGCACCTTGTGTGTGTGCCTACGTGGGCATGCTGTCTGCCTACGTACCAGGTCGCATCGATGCTTTCGCTGTTTGGTGCGGTCGACGAAAGCATAGAAGGACTCCTTGCAGATGCGGGCAGGGGTGACGCCTGACACCCACACACACACCCACACACAGACACACACACAGAGAGAGAGAGAGAGGGAGCAGTGTGGCAGGCCGCTCATGGGTCCACTCAGCCATACACAGGCGGAGGCACCAACCGTATAGCTTGAAGTTCTCTTGTGCGTCGTCGACGTGGGTCGGAGTTGATTTCGCAGGCACAGACCTTGAGGCCCTTAGGGCAGAATTGGATCGTGTTGCCTCCTGAATCGAACGCATCAAGCAGATAGACAGACAGACAACAGACATGTCAACATGACGTGCAGTGCTCGGATGTCTCAAGCTTCTCCTGCATTCATTCATGTGAGGGAACGGCGCGTTGCTCCGACCTTGAGGGCATCCTATCCAGCAAGGCGTCGATTCGATGCTGTCAAGGGGGCTTGGCATGACGTGACACGGCGAGCAACTGCGGAAAAGATCCACGAAAATACAAAATGTAGGTAGCGATGATCGACCTGCATAGACACGTCAGAGAGACACCTGAATGACAAAATGAACTCTCCTCTGCCCCCCGCCAGCTTTCCTCCGCACTCGAAGAACGACTCTCCGTCGCAGTGCAGAGAGGCGCCTTCGGTGAGAGCTGGCACACAGAAAGACATCCCTGCGGCCATTCTGCATCCACACACACAATGCATTAAGTCGCTAAACAAACGAGTGCATGTGTCGTGTTGTGTGTTCATTCACGCACAAAATGAGAGCCATTGAAAGGGAGTAGTGTGGGCACTTATGTGTTGGTTTGTTTGTGCGTACCATTTTGCCGTCGGCTCCCGTGTTGTCGAGGGGGTACCCTCTGTTGCGTACGCCGGTGCACACACACATACGTACACAGCAACACAGGCCATGACACACAGGCCTTGTGACCATTAACGCCTGTGTGTTGTGCGTCCTACCACGTCGGCGATGGCCGTGTGGCGAGGGATCTTAATGGCGAACGACGGGCTCAGGTTAAGCATTAGCGCAAACATATCATACAGGCTCTGAATGAAGGGAACGGACCACACACACACACACACACAAACACAGAGAGAGAGAGAGAGAGAGAGTGGGCGTGTCATCCGCTGCTCCTCTTTATTTTCACCATATCGCCGCTGTTGCCCTTTTTGGTAATGTTGTAGTTGCCGCGCGCCTTGTATTCCGGCCCCACGGCGGGTCGAAATAGACCTGAACGATTCCACACACGCATACACACACACACAGAGACATGTCAGATGATGGGTGCAGGTATGATCTATCCATTATCCATCAATCAAGTGCTGACCACGTCGAACGCCGGCTTGCCGGGCTTTATCATCCCGCGGGCGATAATGTGGTCCTCCATCTTGTCGGTGCGGGCCAAGAAGCAGTCCTGGTATATGTGCACGTGGTCATAGCCTGCGCAAACACACACACACACACACAACACACACACATGGACACACATCCGTATGGCATGGACCGTGTTTGGTGCACACCATACCGTATACGTGGCGCAGGTATACGTGGCGCAGGTTGTGTATGGCATTTTCGTAGTGCGTGGGGTTCTCCTCCGACCCCACCACCTCCAAACCATTGGCGGCGAAGCCAATGGCGTTGCCCGCTGCACACACCCCCCCCCCCCCCCC